TTCCTTCTCTAAGGCCAGATGTCCACCTCATCGGGGCGACGAACTGTAGTCGTTTATCCAAATTGATCGGGCCGATTGAAATCGGCAATTCGTGTCCGTAGGTCGGTCGGTTTTCGAATGATTTTAATCGAGTATATTATTAGGTACATCTAAATAATAACATAGTATAACGAATAGAAGCATCAGAGGTGCTTTCATTTGTACCCGTAAACTTGCCAATCGTGCTCAAAAATTTAAATCTATGTATTGTACGACCAAAAGTTTTTTTCTTTTTCTTCAAAAACGAGTTTATTACGACTAACGACAATTGATCGTGGAAGCAGCGTCGGGCTAAAATAGTCGGTTGCGATTTCGATCGGTCACGACAGAAATCGAGCCTATGGTCAGGCTTCAATAGAAATACACGCGCGCGATCTTTATCGAACTATTCCAGTCGCTCCGATCCGGCCTCAGGCTTAAATACTGCCGCCATTACGCCATTTGGGGTGCATCCGCATTAAACTGAATTTATCTGGACTTCTAACAAACAAACTTGGATTTCGCAGGCAGGTTTCATTTACGTTTTCGGTTCGAGCTAGTCCCTTTTACAGATCCGGAGAAATTCAGTATAATGGCAACGCATCCTTACATATATGTATATTGATTTAATATTTAAATTTGGCGCCATTTACGCCAAAGCTGCGAGAACAAACACGAGATGGCGGCGCGTCTTTTTACATTTAGGTTAGGTTACTTATTCTTAATATTATCTTTGTTTATAAACAAAGATATTATATAATTATTATTTATAAACTTTACATTATAGGTATTCCATTCTAAGTTTGTTGTTCTATACAATTCTAGACAATTTAAAATCCTTAAAAACTTTGTTTTAAGAGGTGTCGTTTAAGATACGGTTTATAATTTGTCTTATAGTCACAATTAGATGTTGTTTGAAGACGGGTTTATGATTTGACTCATTATCACAATCGGTACGTTCAAGATCCGTTGAAACTTGATGTGTCAAAAGATGACGTTTGAGGAGTTGTTTATTGTTTGTCCCATAATCACAAGTAGCACATTTAAACTTGTTAGAAACTTTATGTGTTAAAAGATGTTCTTTGTAGTTGCCCTTAACATTTGTCTCAAAATCACAATCAACACATTTAAAATCCTTCAAAACTTTATGTGTTAAAAGATGTTGACAGTAGACATATTTATCATTTGTGCCGGAGTCTGTGCCATAATCACAATCAGCACATTTAAATTCTTTCGAGATTTTATGTTGTAAAAGATGTCGTTTGAAGTAGTGTTTATTATTTGTCCCATAAGCACAAGTGGAACATTTAAAATCCTTAGAACTTCTATGTTTTAAAAGGTGTTGTTTAAAATGTGATTTATAATTTGACTCATAATCACAATCAGCACATTTAAAATCTTTAGTAACTTTATGCTTTAAATCATGTATTTCGAGGTACTTTTTAACATTTGTTCTATAATCACACGTAGCACATTTAAAATCTGTAGAAATTTTATGTATTAAAAGATGTTTTTTGAAGTAACTCACAACATTTGTCGCATAATTACAATCACCACATTTAAAATCTTTAGAGACTTTATGTTTTAAAAGATGTTGCTTGAAGTTGCTTATATAATTTGTCCCATAATCACAATCATCACATTTAAAATCTTTAGAAATTTTATGTTTTAAAAGATGGCGTTTGAAGTACTTTTTAAAATTTGTCCCATAATCACAATGGGCACACTTAAAATCATTAGACACTGTTTTACACGGCGTTATACGGACACGTTTAGAGTGCTGCTGTACTTCTTCATTATAAAGAAATGTAGAACATGGTGTACTGATGGTATTTTCGTCTTTTATCGTCACCAAAACATCGTTGCTTACTGAGATGTGTCCCTGAAGAAAGGAATGGATTTCTTCTTCTTGTTTTGGTTCTATTTTAATTAGGGTGTCATCTCCATCCATACCTAACAACAATGTAATAAATAAATGTGTTAAAAACCTGTTTGGTTTATCAAAAATCTATTTTGGTATCAACAAGATGCCAATGCCAGGCAACCCATAGACATATGAATGTCATGTGTATGGTATGGCCGTATGGGGCGTGTTTTATTTATGTATGGGGCAACCACAGAGTTGTATATAAGTAAATAGAGAGGCAGTACATACGACCTGCGCGTGGAAAAATAACTCCAACTACAGTGGCCGACTTTTAATGGCGGAGCCGTTGGGACTCATGCGCAGTGCGTGAAAGGGAATCAGCACGATTTTTGGGTGCATTCAGTTCTTAGACCATATAGTACATGGACTGCTAATTGTAACTAAAATATGGTCAAGGACGTCGCCTGGGTATGTGAGTTTCAGGGTAAACGAGTCTGTCCGAAGTTGTCCGATGAGACACGATTTGAGACTGTCAACCTATAAATTAACAAACGTCAATTAATTAATCGCCTAGATATCCCAAAAAAAGCAAACTTGTTCTTATTTGTGGACGTATAGCAAATAATGAAGAGTATTTAAAGCTTCCCGTACTACGTGGTTACTAGAAAGTTACTCTTTACGCGATCCGAGTGGTGTTCATACGACTTTAGTTTACCCTGAGATTCACATACCCACGACTACAGTGCCCTCTATCCGTGACCACCCATTTTGTATTGAAAGCATAGGGCGAATAGCAGTCCATGTACTATATGGTCTAAGATTCAGTTACATAATCACAAAACAAAACAGCAATAACTTTTCAGATGCTTCAGATTCATTTGTAAACAGACGGTTTGGAGTAATAATTTAAGCATTTAAGCATGCCCATTACATTATACTCTTTACCGCCATTTCAATGTTTAGTAGGCGACGATCTGTACATAAATAAAGGATATTTTAAAATGCTCCTGGAAAAGTGCAAGAAAAGATCAAATATATGGGTGGAAGGAAAACTCTTCGCAAGCAATTGTTGAAATTGGTTTTCGATACAAGAAGTGTCGGGACAAACGTAGGTTGGTAATGGAAAGAAGTGACATTGTAGTATGGCCTCGAGTATGGCATCTCGTTATTTAAGAAGATTAAAAGAAAATGAACAACCTGAATGTGACAAGAAACCCGTTATATACTTGGACGAAACCTATATTCACCCATCGTACGGAGTGAGTAAATGCTAACAATCAGATGAAGTATCGGAAGTTTATAATAGGGCTGGTCAGAGGTACATCGTAGTATGCTGGTAGTCGTTCTGGTTTTGTAGAGGATGTCGCACAGTAAATCGGGGGATTATTACGATGATATGAATCATACCAACTTTATGCAGTGGTTAGAGAAGCAGCTTATACCAAATTTACCAGCAAACTCACGTACCTTATTAGTGTTCAAATAAATAAGCCACCAACAATGAATAATCATAAGGAAGTGATACGTTCTTGGTTAGAAGCAAATATCATTCCTACGAGAAATGAATTTATTGACAATGTACAATTTATTGTGAACACCGGCAGTTCCGATGATGATTAGTGGTCAAGTGACGATAATGAATGAAAAAAGTTAAAGATTGTGTGTTAATTTAGTCAATGTGAGTGTTATTAATTTCAATGTGATTGTTTCAATAACTGTCCATATTTACACAGCAGAAGTGCATCAGAATTGTAAATTGTGTTGAACATGAACATCTAACAATCTTAAATGTGTTTACGTTTTGTAGAAATTTATTAATTTTACTGTTTCCCCTTGAAGTAATGCAACTCATATCGCGTGGCCCACTTATTTATATTTAGTAGAGTCAAATTTTGCATGAGAATGTACAGTCTAAATATCCAACGTCCTCGGACACGCCCTGTCAGGAACCTTCTGAGCGTGGTGCCACTGTACATACCCTCTGCCGATGCTCCATTTTTGAGATATTTGAGTTATTGGCATTTGAAGTTTGTCGACTTTGTGGCTACCCGTATTCAAACTGTGTTTTCGGCATTGCACACCTGAAATTTTGTCCCGCACCAAAATAAAATTTCAACTTATTTTATTCTTTCATTGCTATTTTTATACTCACTGAGTGCATAAATAGATCTTTAAACTCGATCGCACGACAAATATACGATTTCCTTTATACCAGAATCTCAAAAATCTTTTCTCGATTCTGATGTTGTAAGCCCCTTACCAGCTTTGTATTGTAGTCTACTGTATTAAAAGTTCTTAACGACTGTAATGTTTCTTATTTATTCAAGACAGTGTTAACAATATCATTCACCACACATTGAATTTCTTTTCAATTTTTGTTGCAATGAAAAACCATATTATTCTCAAGCCGAACCTGCTTTAAGGATCATTTAATTTGAAGCCGGTTCTGTTGTCGTTTACTGCGCACACTCACCAACGGCCTGCGCAAGGTTCAATTGGAGTCAATTTTTCGCTATAAGACTGTCTCTCTATTTACTTATATACAACTCTGTGGGGGCAACCTGGGGCAACTAGACATTACTGAGTAACTAAAGTCCCTATGAGTACAGTTCCCACGCCAAGCATATAGCGTGCTGCACGAGTGCAATTTTTACGTTCTCTTGGTAATTTTAGGGCAATTTTCTGTGTTCCATTGGCAAATGTGATGCAACAATTACGCACTCAGTGCAAATTTCGACGCACGAGGTTCGTGAGCTCGTGGAGCTGCTTGTTAACAAATTTTCAAAACAAACGTGTGACAATTTGAATTTGTTTCTTGCGTTGGGAGAGTTTTTTGTCGTCATTTAGCGATAGCGAAGATGATGAACTAGCCATAACTTCTATTTTACAAAAAGTTGCACTTACTCATTAAACTGAACGCCAAAAATTGGTCCTTTACAGGAATTTCAAATTTATATTCCTCATCGTTTATCATAAATAATACTGAAATCGTTTGTCATTTTTTTGAATAGAGATTTGTCGATTACCTAAATCTAAAATGAGGTTATGGACAAATGACAACAAATATTTACGAATATTTATGTTCCATTGAGAGCAATTTTCACATGCATTTCTTCAGTTTCTCGTGCAACACTCGTGCAGTACGAGTTTTGCCAATCGAAAACGCTAATAGTTTTATACTTAGATCATGTTGTTTTTATGATCTAAGGTTTTATACAATGGTGTAGTTAATTAATCATGCCTCAGGGTAAATCTGTGCAAGTAATTATTTGGTTGTATTTAATATTTAGGTCGCTTTGGATATGCAAAAACAATATCAAAATCTACAATAAATGCGCCTGCCTGTATTGCCAGTGAACCTTCGTCTATTGTTATTTTTTAATCAGAGAAGTGAACACAGTTACTCTTCTGTAAATGCTCGTCCACTGTAGTTTAGTTATCTGGCAACCACAGAATAATACTGGCAACGTTGGACTGGACGGCTGGAGTAGGTATCTGAATCTGTTACGTGCCCTTTAATGTTTAAAGAACATGTAAATCTATAAATTTGGTAAGTGTCTACATTTTCCTTACATTTGCTTTTGCATTAAAGTTTTTAATGAACGAAATAACGAATTTCAAACTAAACGGATATTTCACTGTACAACTTTCACTGAGTATTAGATTTTGTTCGAATACCATTGAAAGATGACAAAATTTGTATTTGTCTAAGAACCAGAGGTTACTTTTTAATAATAAAGCAAACAAGTAATATGCATAATAATATGTTTCACAGTAGTGAAATTTCCTGTACATACTATTACTACAGATACTGTATCAAAAATGGTAAAAATAATGAGTTGTACACATTTCTTAATAACATTATTGTTCTTAGGAATGGATGGAGATGATGATACACCACTTGTCAAAACCGAACCAAAACAGGAAGAAGAAATCCATTGCTCTCTTGAGGGAAACGTTTTGGTGAGTAATGAAGCTGTGGTTACAATAAAAGATGAAATTACTAATCGCGCGCAGTGCTCTAAATCTCTCTATAATGAAGAACTACACCAACATTCCGACTTTCAACATCACCTTTTAGCTCAGTGTAACACAGTGTCTAAAGATTTTAAATGTGTTGATTGTGATTATGAGACAAATCATAAACGCAACTTCACACGACATCTTTTAAAACATAAAGTTTCAAAGGATTTTAATTGTGCCGATTGTGATTATGGGACAAATGATAAACCTAACTTGAAACAACATCTTTTGAAACACAAAGTTTCGAAGGATTTTAAATGCGCTGATTGTGATTACGGGACAAATAATAATCGCAACTTCAAACAACATCTTTTGAAACATAAAGTTTCGAAGGATCTCAGATGTGCTACTTGTGATTATGGGACTAATAATAAACGCAACTTCAAACAACATCTTTTAAAACATAACGATAGGAAGGAATTTAAATGTGGCGCTTGTAATTATGGGACAAATAATAAACACCTCTTCAAACAACATCTTTTAAAACATACAGGTTCTAAGGCTTGGAAATGTGGTAATTGTGATTATGAGACAAACAACAAGTATTACTTTAACCAACACCTTTTAGATCACAACATTTCTAAAGAGTTTAAATGTGCTAATTGTAATTATGAGACAAACAATAAATATATCTTTAACCAACATCTTTTAAAACATAAAGTTTCGAAAGATTTTAAATGTGCTGTTTGTAATTATGGGACAAATTATAAATGCAACTTCAAACAACATCTCTTAAAACACAAAGTTTGTCACGATTTTAAATGTGCTGACTGTGATTACGGCACAAATGATAAGCCTAACTTTATACAACATCTTTTAAAACATAAAGTTTGGAAGGAATTTAAGTGTGCCCAGTGTGATTATGGGTCAAATGATAAATACAACTTCAGACGACACCTTTTAACACACAAGGTGTCTCAGGATTTTAAATGTACTGATTGTGATTATAAGACAAACAATAAATATAACTTTAACCAACATCTTTTAAAACATAAAGTGTCTAAGGATTTTAAATGTGCTAATTGTGATTATGGGACAAATCATAAACGCAACATCAAGCGACATCTTTTAAATCATAAAGTTTCTAAGGATTTCAAATGTGCTGATTGTGATTTTGGCACTAATAATAAATACTACTTCAGAAATCACCGCTTGAAACATATCTAAAAATTCAAATATCTAATTATGCGATTTAGACAAATAAAAATTATTTTTTTACTTTTAAGAGTCTTCTTTACCTAAGCGCAACTTTTTTACATTATGGTGTATAGATGATTAAAGTTGCGAGAGACAAGATGATCTTGCTTTTTCAACTCCTGTCTTGGTTCTTAGTTAGTTCCCGCTGACACTGTCTGTGGAGCGGCGCCACTTGCTACACTCAAATTGTTGATTTACCGCCTGCCAAGATACAGACTTTATATACAAAAAATATGATTTCATTTTTTGGGGTAATGTTTAGAAGTAACTTATCTAGGAAACTGGGTTTACTTTTTCCATAAATCGTCTAGATCGAGAGTAAAAAAATAAAATGAATTAACGCAATAATTTGTGCAAAACATCTAATCTTTAAATAACCGGTATTCAGTTGCTATAAACTTTTTGATAAAAATAGTCCCAACATTTTGTAGATAAAGGTCTAAATTTATAAAATAGTTAAAACAACTTGAGTTTTTATGGCGGGCGCTCTTATGGAAATTTACATTGGATGCAGTGGGTACAGAAGACTCATTAACACATAAAGTTTCCAACGATTTTAATTTAACATTTGTTCTATTTGTACATTCATTATACATATAAAGAACAGTCCTTTTATAATTCTTTACATTTGTGCAGAACATAAAAGTAAGGTATTATATTAACAGAAATTGGAAAGCCTCTTATTTTTGTTATCCCGTGTACCTACGATTATTTTCCTGCACGAGGTCGGAGAGCTCGTGGAGCAAATTTTCAAAATAAAAGTGCGCCAATTTGAATTTGTTTCTTGCGTTGGAGAGTTTTTTGTTGTCATCTAGCGATAGCGAAGATGATGAACTACCCATATAACTTCTACTTTACAAAAAGTTGCATTTACTCTTTAAAGTGAACGCCAAAAATTGGTTCTTTACAGGAATTTCAAATTTATATTCCTCATTGTTTATCATAAATAATAGTGAAATCGTTTCAGTCATTTTTTAAGAATACAGATTTGTCGATTACCTAAATCATTGTATAAATACAAATCTAAAATGAGGTTATGGACAAATGACAGCAAATATTTACGAATATTTATGTTCCATTGAGAGCAATTTTTACATGGATTTCTTCAGTTTCTCGTGCAACACTCGTGCAGTACGAGTTTTGCCAATCGAAAACGCTATTAGACACAGTGTATATTGAAATTATGCTCTATGGTTTCAGCCGGATGGTAAACCCGCGCACAACACCCTAATCGTGCGAGAATACCTATCGGACAAATTTTTCAATGTTCCAGGAAATTTGTTCGATAGGTATTATCGCGCAATTAGGGCGTTGTGCGCGGGTGCACCATCCTGTTGAGACCAACAGTTTCCAACTTTTGTTTTTTGTGTGTGCCGTATATCGCTGTATTAGTAATAAAAAATGCTATTACAGTGTGTACTTTTTTTACGGTTCTTATAAAAAATAAAGTTGATGATATAATAAATTGGTTTATTATTTTTTTTTGTTATACTCGGATATCTATTTTTTTTTCTGATGTCTACTTTTCTAACCGAGGTTCAGTGGAAGAACAAAAATAATTTGAACTGCGCCTCAAGATCGTCTTTTCCTAGGTTTTCTTTGTTTTATCTATTCTGTGTATCTTTTATATGTTGCGTGGTAGGAAAAGTCAATAAAGACCTTTGTTATTATTACATATATTAATTTTTATATGGTTTAGCGTCTATGAGAATACAGCAATTTTAGGGCACAATCTGAATTCATAATGAAGCCAATAAGGTTTTTAGCATCGTCAACATGGGGAGTATGGTACTGTCATACTGAAGTCCCAAAATACTTTCTTCCTTTGTCTCTTCTTGCATGTTAGTTGTAAGTGCCGTCAGACTTATTGATGTGTTCTAATGCTGTTTGATACTTACTTGACAGTTCAATTTTGCCGAGCGCTGATGCCTTGCGATACAATCTGTAGCATTTCAAAGAGAGAAATACTAAATTCTATAAAATGAGGATGCTTGGAATGGATCAACATACACATTGCATTTTCTATCATCATTTATTAAACCTACACATACAAAAACATTACATTTACCCAGCCGAACTTGCAGACAGATGCTCTTTTCGCTTATCTTTCCCTCTTAATATAGCAGCCTTAAACAACTTGCAATACAGCTGAATTGCTGCAGTTGAATCGTCATTACCAGGCACGGGATATGTAATCATATTGGGATTGCTATTGGAATCGACTATACCAATTGTTGCTATTCCCATTTTTGCCGAATCTCGCACCGCCGTATGTTGCATAAGAATGTCGTTCAAAGTACTCAAAAAAATGCACAAATCAGGTAAACGTGTGACCGCTCCAAACTGATGCGTTGAATTTGTAAAAATGCCACCGCGCCAGAACCTCGTATGTGCGTATTCCCCACACTCCAATGCGGTTTTCTCGACAATGTGCGCATTCTGCGCGTTTCTTAGAAAAAACACAATTATGCCGTCGCGATAGGCTATATGGGCCGCTATATTTAATGCTCTTCGTAAATATACAGCCGTCTTGTCCAAATCGAATATCAGGTGGCCTAAACGTGAGCCGTAAATGTAAGGAAGCATTCGTTCGTCCAACGATCCCTCTTTATGGCCGTAATGGACGCGTGCATCGAATAGGTCCTTTACTGTAAATAGATTGTGAACGTTAAAGTAATCTGGGGATCCTAACAGAGGGTCATTCAGGTTTGCCTTTGGTATAGGGGTACCTACAAAAAATGTTAGTAAACAAACTTTGAACAAATAAAACAACCAGGTTCCGCAATTGTTGGATTCAGCACTGCTGATGTAGCATAGGTTCTCAGGGCCGAATGGGACAATCGCGCTGTGTTTTTAAAGATGAACATTTTAATATGTGCTAAATTTGATCTTAACCTAAAAAATGTTATTTCTTTTTTCGGGCATTTAATCGGTGACTCAAGCACCGTACATAAATAGACTGTGATTCGGCAACAATGTACAGGGTATGTATACGGTACAGCAACGTGTACAAGTAACTTTTTGGAATTGTACGCGATTCCTTCATAGACGTATGAGATTAAACCATATACAGGGTGACAATTTGAAAACTTACCATCCCCCATATCTTAGTAAATAAACGAGATATTTAAAAAAAATCAAAATCCGTTTCGGTAATTCGGAGGGGGAATCACAATGACATAGTTGGCGACGCACCCCCTCCAACCCCCTGCGCCCCAGCCACCCCAACTTTTAAATCTTAAATAGTGACCCCCCCTGTGTGATATGTCGTTGGAAAGCTCTGAAAAAATGCTTTCCAACCATACCAAATAGTATTACATTTAGGTTAGCAATTATCGTGCAAATCAAAAAATAAACTAATATGATACATTTGAAATCTGTCGTATTTAAAACGCAACCGGCGAACATTAGACGAACTAAGAGAGAGAATAATTCAAGAATGTCGAAATATTGCAAAAGCAACATAGAAAAGGTTCGACAAGAGTTTGAGAATAGATTATAACTGGCGATCAAAAATGAGTTGCTGTCGAGTCGGCTTTGGAAGTCCAAGTTAAATACGATTTTCCATGTTTATTTTTTTATTTGCACGATAATTACTAACCTAAATGTAATGCTATTTGGTATGGTTGGAAAGCATTTTTTCAGACCTTTCCAACGACGTATCACACATGGGGGGTCACTATTTAAGATTTAAAAGTTGGGGTGGCTGGGGCGCAGGGGGTGCGTCGCCAACTATGTCATTGTGATTCCCCCTCCGAATTACCGAAACGGATTTTGATTTTTTTAAATATCTCGTTTATTTACGTTTATTAGATATGGGGGGTGGTAAGTTTTCAAATTGTCACCCTGTATATAAGAGAATATATATATGGATTAAACTAGAATGGAACATACGATTTTGCTTGCAGTTATTTCCCTGTTCCATTTAAAAAAAAACGCGTCAACCTGTAGTAGTTCAAATGGGTAGTAGGTGCAATGTACAACTGGTACCTTCAAATCTACCGCCCTGCAGATAAATTTCAAAAATGGTCTAAAGAGATGAAAATTGAAATTATAAATTTATACAAAGGTCACAACACTGCAATACAAGTCCGCGATTTACTTGCAGTCCAAAATTGTATGTTCCAATGTAAGATAAACACTGTATGTTATCTTGGACAGAAAAATCAATGAATGGGTAATGAAAATGGTTATCATTAAACATTATTCCATACACTTATTCATTTCTCATCTGAACAGCGCTCTACATTTAAATAATTTATCAAAAACATATCAATGTCCTCAATACTTTTAAGTAAATCATTGATCATAATCTCCACCCTACGCAATGAGAGAACGGTTGCTTGAAGAAAGCCACTAAACTCCTTCGATTGAAACAACTCCTTTATTTGCGCATCACGAATACTCAACCTGCAAAAAAAAGGTTACTCCCAACTCCTAACAATAAATCTCACATTTTTATCAGAATCAACGCTATCAGACTCCATTCCACAGGCTGAAAAACAACACTGTACGCGTGGAGAGAAAATGTCCTCACAAGCAATTCGATCTTTGTCAAGGTAACTGCGGATTCCACACCTAGATGCTCCACCAACGTTTTTATTCTAAAATAAAAAGCTTAGCGACAATCACAACCGTCGTTGGTACATACGCAGTGTTAATATTGGTTAAGAAAATTTCTTGGCGGACGAGATTTGGGGATTCTCCCATTGTGAGCGAATCACCATCTTCGCTCTTGCTGACATCGTAAGTTTCGCCACTATAAAAAGAGCGCACCTTAACACTTATATCTTTGCTATCTTTCTTTAATTGACTGTAAGTCGGAACGGGTTTTAATTCCTGATGAAATGTCATCTTGTCTTTGTCACGACAGTCCACTAGTTCCAATTTTCGACATAATTGGTTAAGTTTTCTTTGTGTTAGTACCTCTGATGACGGTATGGGTAGGTTTAGCTTCAATGCTCTTTCGCGCACAAGCTCCCGACCGAACAAGAAAACGTATGTATCTAACGATAGCCATTCTAGAATGTACTTTTTTAATGTTGCTGAGCGATTGCGTTTTGTAGTCTTCGGCTGGGGCTGTTTCAAAACATGACGTGCATAATCACTAGAAGTCTGAGAATGTGGTGGCGGTTCTTTTGTAGGTGTATGCGCCTTCTTATTGTCTTCTTGCTTTGCTTTCTCGTCCGCGTTAGTCATTTCATGTAGAGAAGCTTCTGCAAATGAATAGGACGAATCAAACTGCACCTCTTCTTTGTCTAAAATATTCGTGTCTGAGTTTACATCGTCACCTGGGAGGCCCCTAAAATATAAATTCTGTACAGAATGCAGCCTAAAAGAATCATGATGTTAAAAATAGCTGAGATTGGTGTTTAAGTAACTTCTTGAAATAAAATAAAAGCGATTTTATCGAAGCGAATTAAAAAAAGTCTATCTAGTAAGTGATACAGTGACTTTAAAGAGACCTATAGAGACAGTGATTGGTCGTTGGGTCGGGTCGCCATATTGGAGCTAAATTTCAAACTGGCCAATAGAAAGCCTCCAAAACGGCGCGGTACACTCCATGCTATAATTATTAATTATACTGTTTTGACAGTGTCACCTGTGATTGTCACGGCTTCTCGTTACTATAATTACACTTTGCTTCTTGTATTTGCTTTATTTTACGTTTTCTGTCTCCAGCTTTATATAAAATCGATTTTTAAAGACGCATATAGCTTGGATTTACGATATTATAAGGTATGTAATTCGCTTAAAGTGTTTTTAGATGTAAAACTGTGCCTAACCTTACTACTGGTAATTGATGTAAAAATTTTTTCAGAAGCAAATACCTAATGAGTTTAGATAGAAAACTGGTTAGAGAAGCAGCTTATCCGAAATTTAGCAGCAAATTCAATTATGGTTATGGATAACGCAATTGAGATCATATAAATACGCTTGAATTGGTTTAATGTTTAACATTGATGATTGCTGAAGCACCAGGAATATTGATCTCTGGTACTCCATGGACTAAATTAACGTGTTTTTGTCTTCCATTTATGGGACTAAAGTAATACTTTTTATCCCGGAAGGGGGAAGGGACAAGAAGTGACAGAACACACTGAAATGTCAAACACAATTTCATGATTAATGGTTACCTTTATATGTACAATTTGAATATTGCACCATAATAAATTATGGTTGAAATTATGGTATAAATACTTATTATACCGTTTTCCATATATCTTTTTCCCATAGGTTGTTCTGCACTGCAAATCTTTACTTAAATAAAACTGACACTTATTATTCTACGGTCACAATTTGACATGACAACGTATATTGATCCTACAATCAATTTTTTAGCTCCAATATGGCGGATTATGATAAGTTGCCGCCACTGTCCTTATAAAGTCACTGTAGTAAGTGGCATCAAGAATCAAGTGGACGACAATTACATTCTGCTAGAAGAAAATTTGCACTTTCAGCAAGATGGGGCTCTGTCTGTTAGATAATGGCTTAATCGCCTATATCCTTATAGTAAATGGATTGACAGAGGGGGTGCCATGGTCTCCCGATTTTATTCCACTTGATTTAACGGTAGTGTATGACTCCATACGACTATCTTTTTGAAATTTTTGATTTTGTATCAAAACTCTTTCCCATCTCTAACTATAATACCACATGACCTCCATTGTATACTTACTTATCTGTGACGGGTAGAAGAGTATACGTAGGTAAAACCTCAAATGAACGCAGCCACAGTGGACTATCATCGATTTGTTTTTCAATATGCAAACTAGCTTTGTAACAAAAATTACTGCAATGTTTCTACAAGCAATCTCTTGCAAATTGTGTAATTTCATTGTTGTCAATTACCTTACGATTAGTAATATCATAGACTTTATTATTCTTGGAATCTATGCTAAATCTCTTCGCGGTCATTTTCGGAATTGTGTTATTACACAAACAATATCCGCACAAATTCATAATGCTACGTTCTTCCACAACATCTTGGTAGTATGAACGGTTTAAAAAGTTGATCTACAAGTATTCAAATCAAAATTCAATTGAGCTACAACGTAGATCAAGTGATGACGTACACATCGCAGAAAGACTTCGGATCGTACTTTTCCTTCTATGAGGAACTCGAGCAGTTTCATAGCTCGTGACTCGCATTCTTTTTTCTTTAATAGTGTTGCGGTTATGTTGTCTCTAAAAGGCGGTATGTGAATTGTATTGCTTTTGGTATTGCAAATATACTTAGTAGGCTTGTCTGGAAGTCGATCGGTTGGAGCATCAGATATAAAGTGAAGATAATCACCAAGCGAATCATTCATTTTGATTCAAGAGTTTAACATTAAAAAAACTAAATTCCTTTGCAGTAGTACTGTCTCTGTAACCCACTTCCTCGGTATTGTTCTCTTTCCATGGGAATGCTTCTAAATATTTTTATTCTCTTATAACCTATATAACACAGAACAGAACACCTCTACCAAGCCACTTGCTCCGAGACCATAGACATATATGTTATCACACTTAAACTTCGACATGACTCCCGAAAAAGCGCATGCGTTATCGCTTTTAGTATGTACAGGGTGTAATTCGAAAAGTGGAACATGGGGGTTTAACATGGGAAATTACTTTTTCTTTGCGCAAACGTTTCCTAATTATTTTACGCAAAAATACTTCAAATAAAAGTTATAGAGATATAAATTCTGCATCTAAATCATGTGAAACGATTATTCTACCTCTTCTTGTACGCGAAAAAATTAATTATAAAGATTCTGTTTTCACGAGTTTTTAGTCTAAGTAGCTATGGACTATGATAAAAACCACCACCAAATTGTAATTGTTATACAGGTAATACAGGGCGATTGATATCAGTTGTATTTTTTAAAATAGAACAACCTGTATATTATATTGCATTTTATGATTTCTTGATTCATTTTAGTTTAGTCGCAATTCATTTTTTCCAACGTAGATGTCCACTCAACATTGAAAATTATCGCAGTTATAAAACTTAGAAGGCAGTGTAATCATTGTACCATTGGTTATTCATACTATGCGATCACAAATGAGTTGCTGTCAAGTCACCTTTGAAATTTTTGTTTACATTAGGAAATTGTACCTACTTAACTTGAACTTCCAAAGGCGACTCGACAGCAACTCATTCCCCGTTACAAACTTTGTCATTCCTCCAATGGTAAAATTCAGTAATCAAACAAAATCTAATGACCCGTGGAAGTAGAACATTTAAAATCCTTAGCAACTGCATGTTTTAAAAGATTGTTTGAAGATTTGTCTTATAATCACAAGTAGCACATTTAAAATTCTTAGGAACTACAGCAACACACTCTACAATAGTTAGTTGAACCTTAGATCATTCAGGGCCGGTTGTACAAAGGCAGTTTAAACCTCGCTTGGAATTAACCAGTGGATTATAAACGTCAAATTTCAACCAATCATATGTCTTAATCCATTGCGTTAATCTAAACGAGGTTTAAACTGCCTTTGTGCAACCGGCCCTCAATGATATTAACTAGTGTTTAGTAAGTTTTAATACAATTTTTTATTTAATAATAATATTTTATAGTGTGTTGTTTTAACTGTGTGTATAATACACACAGGCGCTAGAGTATGCTTCCTAGTTCCTGGTGGGCACTGGGCATGCGCATTTTGTGTACCTAGATTTGGTTGTTTCTAAAAAAAATTGAGATGAAAATTCTAAATCTACCAATAACCTAATGCCCAACTAACCTGAATTGTGTAGGCATTTTTATGAAAAAAATTTGTCATACCAGCAAATCTGAAATCGGGAACCCGCTCCTCTCAGATGGAAGCCAGAACAAAGGCCCGATTGTCACGACATTTTTGCTAAAAAGGGGTCATAGGCCTAATACAAAATTTGTCATTCGTCTAATGGTAAAGTTCAGTAATCAAACTAAATTTAATGCTCAGTGGAAGTTGTACAAGTAGAACACTTAAAATCCTTAGCAACTTTATGTTTTAAAATGTGTTTTTTAAGAGCGGATTTATAATTTGTCTCATAATCACAAACAGCACATTTCAAATCCTTAGACACTTTATGTTTTAAAAGATGTTGTTTGAAGTGGTGTTTATAATTCGTCTCATAATCACAGTTAGCACATTTAAAATCCTTAGCAACTTTATGTTTTAAAATGTGTTTTTTAAGAACGAATTTATAATTCGTCTCATAATCACAATCAGCACATTTAAAATCCTTCAAAACTTTATGTTTCAAAATGTGTTTTTTAAAATCGGATTTATAATTTGTCTCATAATCACAATCAGGACATTTCAAATCCTTAGATGCTTTGTGTTTTAAAAGATGTAGTTTGAAGAGGTATTCATTATTTGTCCCATAATCACAGGTAGCACATTTAAACTCCTTAGAAATGTTATGTTCCAAAAGATGTCGTTTGAAGAGCTGTTTATGATTTGTCCCATAATAACAAGTAGCACATTTCAAATTCTTAGAATCGTTATGTTTTAAAAGATGTTGTTTGAAGTGGTGTTTATAATTCGTCTCATAATCACAGTCAGCACATTTCAAATCCTTAGCAACTTTATGTTTTAAAAAGTGTTTTTTAAGAGCAGATTTATAATTCGTCTCATAATCACAATCAGCACATTTAAAATCCTTCAAAACTTTATGTTTCAAAATGTGTTTTTTAAGATCGGATTTATAATTTGTCTCATAATCACAATCAGGACATTTAAAATCCTTAGACACTTTATGTTTTAAAAGATGTAGTTTGAAGAGGTATTCATTATTAGTCCCATAATCACAAGTAGCACACTTAAAATCAATAGAAACTTTATGTTTTAAAATATGTTTTTTAAGATCGGATTTATAATTTGTCCCATAATCACAATCAGCACATTTCAAATCCTTAGAATCTTTATGTTTTAAAAGATGTTGTTTGAAGTGTTGTTTATTATTTGTCCCATAATCACAAGTAACACATTTAAACTCTATAGTAACTTTATGTTTTAAAATGTGTTTTCTAAGATCAGATTTATACTTAGTGGCATAATGACAATTATCACATTTAAAAGCCTTAGAAACTTTATGTTTCAAAAGATGTTTGAAGTTGCTTTTATAATTTGTATCATCATCACAATCAGCACATTTAAAATCTTTATACACTGTTTCACTAGAGTGTTGCTGTACTTTTTCATTATAAAGAGATTTAGAACAAGATGTACTAACGGTAACTTCGTCCTTTATTGTCACCGAAACTTCGTTGCTTACTGAAATGTGTCCCTGAAGAAAGGTATGGATTTCTTCTTCTTGTTTTGGTTCGATTTTAATGAGTGCAGCTTCATTGTCATTATCTTCATGCATGCCTAACAACAATAATGTTATACTTCAATAAGTGTTTACAGAGCAAGACACTTTACTTTCAGAGTTAAATAGAATTGAGAATTGTTGTAAAAGAGACACCACGCCACCACCAATGGGCGCGTTCAGCCGACGCAACAGTTGGACTGGTGACTTGTTGTTTCCTCTGAACGCAATTTGTTGGGTTGTGGTGCGGTGCAACCATTGAGTTAGAAAACTAATGGAGGGAATCAAATGCTTGGCCAGACGTAGACCACGGGAACCAAAAGTGGCCTCTAACTGTGATTAAAGTACCACACCACTTCCGTTATCATTAGCGTCTCACTTCAGTGGCGTAGAGATATAATTTTCTTTCCACTAATAGGAATAATAACATAAAAAAACGTATAGGAGTAAAATACATGCTCGTGGTAAAGTAAACAAAATAGACAAGGATGGGAAAGTATGCAGATTTAATTTAATCATTGATTACAAATCTAAATATACATCGATGTGTTCCAGTAGTATAATTAAGGCCAGTTTACTATAACCACTACAACTTGACAACTCCCATTAAATTCACTGTGTTGATCAATAGCTACAATTGATTGGTTGGTCTCAGGTTCATTACAAGTTTTGATAGTACCTACCTACTGCATATTTGACGAGATATTTGATGAAAATTTTCCGGTGCAACCTTTGGTCGAAATCACAGTCAATGAAGCGTGTGAGCACAAAAGTAAATTTCGAGAGCTGTTCTTGAGATATATTTACAAATGTTAGGTAACCATTTTGCTCGAAGTACCGGTTCGTTTGGAAAACTAAGAATCATAAACTAGGTACCTACAACCTCGCCTACAACATGATAAATGACGATGTCTTACCGATGAAAGGAAATGCCATGTTTCTTCCCTTTATGAGAAATTTTGCATGATACGCAGCTAATCATTCTCAATTCACAAAATTGCCTGTGATAAAAACACTATGCGGCAGTTAGTTATTTATATAAACCAGAGCACAACACCGATCCGAAATTATTAGGTACTTTAAAATGGCAAATTTAATAAAATTTGAATTTGGTGGAAAACTGACAGTGACAGGACCCGCGTTTTCATATGTCAAATAATGTCGGCCAAAATGTACCTTTACGGGAACCTATCCACGCGAGTGGCCTCTATCTGTGGCAACTTCCGTCTACAAAAATTCTAACCCCCTCCACCATTATATTCACTCCATTAGTTTTCTAACTCAATGGGTGCAACCGTTGCTAAACTTTCCCACCAGAAAAATAGTACGTTGACTTTTGTAAACGAAGTATTTTAACCTTAATTTTCGACTGTTGCTGTGCATACCGTGATTTTTGTACTACTGCTGTTTTTAAAAATACAATGGACACAAATATGAATAATAAGAACTTGAAATCAAAAGTAATTGTTTTGAAGGATTATTTTATAATTAATAATAAATTGGTGGCAAAAAATGCAGGTATTATAGGAGGTATGTTTTATTATAGAAATTAATACTGTTTTTGCGCGATCGGTCATTTCTGACTATTTACCATGGGTGTTTCCATGACAGTACGTAGAATTTACCAGTTGCTATGATTACGACGACGCCAAAATTACTTACCGATCTAAAAACAGAACAGCAAAAATACTTACCGACGCCTTTTTAAAAATCAACAGTCTTACATTACATTTAATCTTTAATTATTGTTAGGTACATTAAACGTACAATTTGTGCTGTTGTTTCCTATAGCAAGACGCTCATAAAGTCATAAAGGAAGTTCAAAGCTAGTAAACTACATCAGACACATGCACATTTTTATGAAATTATTAACTTCAATTTTGACAAATAAACTGGTTACCTAGTGATATACACCATACCACTTCGATCATTTCGATTTATTCTGCTCGTTAATTTCTTAGTGCATATTTATATTGGTTGCATAAATTTAATTTCGATCGCGCAAAAAATGTTATAAGCACGTCGAACGTTAAGGGTTACCGTTCTCAGACAATTGTCTTCGAACGGTAAAAATCCCTTACCGTTCTCCATACTTAATATACTATTTTTAGCGACAACTGAAGTGCAATCACCGTTCAGGCGCTGTTTTTATGTTGAATGTCACCACACCTAAAACATATTTCTGGTTTAAATCAACTGTTGCGTCAGCTGAACGCGCCCAATGTTTTGGTTTTAATTGGGCGCGTTCGGCGAAAAGAAGCGCAGCTGCCATATTCTTGTGACGTCGTGTATGAGAATCGTATACAGGTTGTTTCACGCAAACCGTTACCTAAAGGTATTTAGACTTCCACTCATAATTTAAATGTGACAATTTGCTTAGTAACATAGATTTTCATGATCTCTCGAAAGGAAATATAATTTACCGAATGTGGATAGCAAACTTTCTTATTTTAAATAGAACACCCCATATTTGCATTTTCGAAATCTACATGCAAATCTATGTCGTTTAAAACCGAATTTCCTTATTCCTAGCATCAATTCTTCAAACTTGGTAAAATGTTACGTTTTCAACTATTCTTGTTCTCTAAAGTGTAATTACATTGATTGGAAATCAAAATTTTGCAAGTGCAGGTATTTACTTTTACAACCGGAAAAACGACGATATTGATTACTTTTGCCATTGATTATATAGATAGTGTATATAATCAATGCTTTTGCGTTTTGGCCATTGTAAATAAACAAAATGGCGGTCTCCAATGTGTTGCAACCAAGGTCTCACTGTTAATCGGAATCGACTGAATCGCGAATTTATAATAAGATGTTTTGTGATCGTACACTAGTAACAAGTGCGTACAATACGGAGCCTTAATTTTATTTTTGAAACCTTTTGACGCAATTTTCAACAGAACCAATTTGAGTACAATTTTTGCCCTGCTGTATTTTTTATCACAAAGAGCCCCCTGTATGAATTACGGTACGTATGAATAACGCCTACATCTTTAATGTCAGTTTAAAAATCAAAAGTCAAATGTCACTCATGACAGTGATTCAATAAAGAAATTTTCAATATTTTTACAATAAAATTTTATCGCCCCCTTATATTAATGCTGTTACAATTAAAACGAGTACACTTTTCAGGATAAGTACACTTTAACGTTAAGAGGTAAACAGAATTTCATTTTTCCAAAGTTAATTTAATTAATGCCCATTTCTTACAGATTAATCAAATTGCGAGTAGGTTTAATTTTTCTAAAGTATGGATAGTTTTTCCTCCTATCACAATGGTGGACAAAACCGAGAGCAGGACTACCAGAAACTCTCGCAAACTATTGGATCGAGTATTGAGAAAATATCGCACAATGGTAAACGAGAAAATCTTTAATACGGCACAATTTGAATACGTGCTCATTTCAGTGTCGTCGATGCAACGGATGATAACGCAAATCGGCTCCCACCAGGATTCGCGCGAGTTACGGAAGCAACTGTAGAGATACCCGGTTTTTGTTTTTTCATACTTTAGTTACGTTTTTGCAGGCATTCAATACAGCATTACACGCAACAGTTAGTTAAGGATACGAATGGGTACATCAAGGATCTTAGCAACATACCACCTGCAGCATTGGCGTCAGAGCAGCGCGAGAGGAAGCTACAAAGGGACCGTCTGCAGGATGAGTTTACGTCGACACTTAATATGTTTCAGGCCGCACTACGAAGTGCGGCGCATAAGGAGAAGGAGATTGTCAATAAAGCAAAGGTTCAAGCGTACGGGGATCCGTTTGCAGGTTTGATTTTTAGTTCAAGTTGATTCCTTGATTATTTCTGGCATCAATTCTATTGATTTTTCTCCTCATTTTCGCAAACAGATTTAAAATTGGATTATTCTGTGTAAAAGTAGCCCGTTTATTGCAGGAGGCCCACGTAGAGATCAACAATTAATTGAGTTACAAGACAGTAATGTCAGTAAGCAACAAATGCAACTGCAGGAGGAGGAGGATTTGGAAATGCTTCGAGAGCAAGAGATTGCGATTAATAAACTCGAAGTAATGTCTGCTTGTTTTTGGTTTTGAGTGATCTGATTTTTACAGAGGGACATCGTCGACGTCAATCAAATATTTAAAGAACTCGGCGCGATGGTACACGAGCAAGGTGAAATAGTGGATAGTATCGAGGCGAGTGTCGAAAGAACTAACAATTACGTATCCGACGGTGCCCAGCAGCTTCGTCAGGCGCAGACGTATAAGAATAAAGTTATGAAGAAGAAGTGTATTTTGGCAATTATTGCTGCTGTCGTTTTAACTGTGATTATTCTTATAATTGTTTATAGTGTTAAATAAATCGGCATAATAATAATGTAACTTGGCATATATAGGGAGTTAAGAAATGAGTGTAGCACAAGAAGTTAAGAAAGTTCTCGTACTTCAATTATTGTTCCTCAAACACAATTCAATCTGTCTCCGTGGTTTACATTTTTAGTAATTGTAAAATGCTATGACAAAGTAAATGGGGTCCATTATTGCAATTTGAGATGTTTAACAAAGTATTGTGTTAATGAATGTTAAATGTGTATAAAATTTATGTACCTTTGTACTTTGGTTGACATTTTCACTTAATTTCTTGTGACACAACTGCTTTATTTACTAGATAATGAATATAATACCATATATATAATTGTAGAAAAGTTGTATTGTCCATTATTAATTATTTATAAATAGAAATAATATAATTTTTTATCACTATTATATCAGTATTGTTGATTATGACACTCCTACAATTTGTTACATAGCTATTCTAAAAATCGCTAATTCTATAACGCTATAACTTAAGGAAATAAAAATGTATATTAACTGCAAATAATTATCTTCTAAAGATGTATTTTTAATTCAGTTTGGAGAAACCCCAGCTGATTTATCAGCATTACGCTTTGATCTGTGAAGATTTTTATTTATTACATGTTTCTTCCGTCCACAGCCAAATAAAGATAAAAGAATAAATTAACAAAGATTGGATTACCTACACTCAACATCGACAATAATCTTGCAGGGATCACTCTTGCATTACACTTTTACACAAAACATTACATGATATTGTATGCTTAGTCAAGGAGGAATGTCACTTGATTTTGAACCAATTTCAGATGAGTTCTTTATCCTTTTTCAGGTAACAACATAAACAGTTGGTTCACAATTAGTGGAATAATGATTGTCTTTTGTGCAAATTGGAAATTTGACATAGCAATACATAAAAATGGCCAAAATAAAAAATTGGCAATCTTTAACTGTCTAGGCAGTTTGGATCTTAGGGTTGAACAAATTAGAGACAAGCTAATTATTTTTTTTAATGTGTAGGTAGGGAACATCTTTATTTACATTCCTTCTAAAAGTCCCACTTGCTCGTACTAGGGCAAATATTTAAAAAATGTCCGCCATCTTTTATTTTTAGACAAAAACTTATTTATGTATTTACGAAAAATTATGTGGGTAGGTCCAAAATTAACAAAGTTTTTAGAAGGTAAAGGGTCGTAGTTATATTTACAAACTTCTGTTAAGTACAAAAAATCTCCATTTTTCCACGTCAAAAACTATACATTAGTGCAAGGAAAAAAATGCCCCGAGAAAACCCACTTCTTACCCCCGCACCTGAGATTGGGCAGTATTCGATTTTGTAAATACTTTTTAGTATTCAAATCCTTTAAAGTATTCAAATACTTTGTAATTAAATACTTTTATGGAAGCAGAGTAGGTACTTATTTGTAACACAAATACTTTCACAAATATTTAGTATTCGAATACTTCGCAAGGTATTTGAATACTTTGAGAAGTATTCGAATACTTCGCATAGTATTTGCGATGTGCGTAGAATCCAAAACAATTCGTACTTTTTCGATCAGACTTCTCAATCAAAAGTTATAGACTAGAAACCAATTTCGAAAGAAAATTCAAAGGGCTGTAACTTTTGAACTAGTAGCCCAATCTTGGAACTGTTTGAAATTATGGATTCTACAGGCCACATTCTATAAGAAAATTTTTTTTCCGGGTCGATCTGAGACAATTTTTTTTCGGGCCTCAAAAAAAGGCAGTGTATAACCTTCCTTTTTTACCAAAAATCGACTGCACCAAAATTTCTCGGGAAAACACTTTTTTATTAATTTTGGTGCGTAGAATCCAAAACAATTCGTACTTTTTCGATCAGACTTCTCAATCAAAAGTTATAGACTAGAAACCAATTTCGAAAGAAAATTCAAAAGGCTGTAACTTTTGAACTAGTAGCCCAATCTTGGAACTGTTTGAAATTATGGATTCTACAGGCCACATTCTATAAGAAAATTTTTTTTCCGGGTCGATCTGAGACAATTTTTTTTTCGGGCTCAAAAAAAGGCAGTGTATAACCTTCCTTTTTTACCAAAAATCGACTACACCAAAATTTCTCGGGAAAACACTTTTTCTTATTAATTTTGGTGCGTAGAATCCAAAACAATTCGTACTTTTTCGATCAGACTTCTCAATCAAAAGTTATAGACTAGAAACCAATTTCGAAAGAAAATTGAAAGGGCTGTAACTTTTGAACTAGTAGCCCAATCTTGGAGCTGTTTGAAATTATGGATTCTAGAGGCCACATTCTATAAGAAAATTTTTTTCCGCGTCGATCTGAGGCAATTTTTTTTCAGGCCTCAAAAAAAGGCAGTGTATAACCTTCCCTTTAACCAAAAATCGACTACACCAAAATTTCTCGGGAAAACACTTTTTCTTATTAATTTTGGTGCGTAGAATCCAAAACAATTCGTACTTTTTCGATCAGACTTCTCATTCAAAAGTTATAGACTAGAAACCAATTTCCATGTAGAGCCAAAAAGTTGTCACATGTCAGTGCAGGGTGCGTTTTACGCATTTGCTCTCATTTACTGTGCGTAGGGAACAAGTTTCCTAACGACCAGGATCGTTGTAGTGGACTAAAACTCAAAAAGTCGAAGTAATCTTCTATTCCATGGTAGGCACACATTGCACCATGGTCTACCCGAAGTCTTCTGGCTTCCTAAATGCTTGTATTATGAGTTTTCTGCTTGTATCTTCTCGTAGGGTCCTCTTGTCCGAATAAAACACTTCACAACAGTTTTAAGTGATTATAAAAAAAAAATCAAAACACGGCAAATTAATTCGGAAACGCTTACTACAACTATATTTTACGCAAAAAATGTTGTAAAAGTGATGTTTGATCTAGTGACACGATGCTCTTGGTTTTTATGCGCAGTTTCGCAAAACCAATTTTATTGTAAGGTAGGTAGGTATAACGTGCGAGCGTCTCGATGCCGCCGACGACGTTGATCCAAAATTAGCTCAAGCTGGTGTTTGTATTGCCCAGTATTTCCTTTTGACCGTTCGGTGCAGTGATCTAATGGATACTAACGATTAAAACCCCCAACATGAGAATTGTATCAGGTCAGTGTTGGATTCCCGCTTTACTTATAGAGATGGCATTCTTACCGGTCCTTTTGCTAAGAGTTCAAGTGCAGCGTTTACCCAAATTTCCTGCAAAATTGCGATAAACTGCGGTTATATCTGTACATGACCCACTTAAAAAAACTCCTTCATCCTTAAATCTCGCGTGTTTTTTTTCAAAAAGACACATCCGATTTAATTAGTTAATATGCGGATGCCTTATTTCCTTTGCGCCATAAATCTACGGTTTAAAAATATCCGAGTAGTTCCAAAAACATGTAGGACTTATAAAATATTTTAATAAGTTTTCTAAATATAAAAGTAATCACATGTTATGTCTAAGTTTAGATGAACGCTTCTTCCATTTGCTTTTCTTGTTTGAAACGAAATTAACCTGTGACCACCGCAGACGCGATGGCCACCTGCACAAATAAATAAAGCTTTTGAGAAAGTCCCAAATTCTCCAGAAACTGCAATAAATAAAAGATATTTTGCTTTTCATTTTTAGGGAGCACAGAGAAAGACACTCGCTCTGAAAGTCCCACGAATACCGAGATCCAGCATCTAACGATCGAAAAAGGCAAAACTGCAGTGCTCGAGGCTCAAGAAATTGATACGTCGTCGCCCGACACAGAATTCATTTGGTATGTCGCAAAAAAACGTCCTTCTAATTTTCGTGGTAAGCCGTATCGCTACGTGTTTAAAACAGATCCGTTAGAATTTATTTACTTCAAACTTTGTACCGGGTGACCCAATAAGACTGTTCCTCGGCTATATCTCGAGAATCATTCGTCATATGACTTAGGGATAAAAAAAATTATTGGGCAAATCGGTCATGAAGAATAGTCGGAAAATATTTTCAAGTTCTAAAAATTACCAGCAGAGGGCGTTACTGCCACCTTAAATTTTAAAATTGCATTTTCTTTAAATTTCGCATAATAAACTAAAAACATTTTTTTAACATTTTTAAAGAGAACCAGTTTATCTATCATTTTCGTAAAAACAAAAACTCAGTTATTTCAAAAACAAAGATGGCGTGGGCGTTCAATTGTTTTTGCAATAACCTGTTTTAACTTCTTAACCGTGTGACCGATTGTAACAAATTTGATATCTTTGAAAAGAGCATTCCTTGGGCAACAAGGAATCGGCATTTTAGAAAAGATTACAAATTCAAAAAACTGCACTTTCTGAATGTAAACACAGCAGAATAATTTACAAATTACGGATGTTTGATAATGCATCGTGCATTTGTTTAATTTTGAGGATAGGAACGAGATTTTGAAAAACGGTTTTCACTGGTCTCTTTGGGTGTTATTTGGCTACTTTTTCATAAAGAAAAAGTCATATCATTCCATTTGATTTTTTTGAATTTTTTAGAATTTTGGATCGTAGTGTCAAAACTAGCCCCCTGGCGGAGAAGGATTCCACTAAAATAACTATATTTCGATTCTTGTTGCCCAAGGAATGCTCTTTTCAAGGATATCAAATTTGTTTCAATCGGTCACACGGTTAAGAAGTTAAAGCAGGTTATTGCAAAAACAATTATTGAACGCCCCACGCCATCTTTGTTTTTTGAAATAACTGAGTTTTTGTTTTTACGAAGATGATAGATAAACTAATTCTCTTTAAAAATGCGAAAAAAAAATTTAGAACTTGAAAATATTTTCCAGCGATTCTTCATGACCGATTTACCTACCCAATAATTTTTTTTAACCCTAAGTCATACGACGAACGGTTCTCGAGATATGGCCGCGGAACAGTTCTATTGGGTCACCGGGTACTTTTTTAACGATAAATACCAGAACTCGCGGTGTTATATTTTACGTTCCAAACACAAATACTGGTTGTTACGGTTTTCTAAAAATTGAATCTGGTTTAAACTTTATTAAGGGTCCCGCTCTATAGTAGCAACGACTTCCAAAGCTGCATTTATACCACGTATTGCATTGGGGTAAAAAACGACCCCCCCCCCCCCTTTTTGACGGGAATACACGTTTTGAAGCACCAGGAACCCGAATCAAACATCGGTCTATCACTCTGTCGGTCTGTACTCTCATTTCCGGCTAAACGGCTGAACCAATTGGAACCAAATTTCGTCTACACATTTTTAGACGTAAAAAGGCAGAATTTCCTAATGCTGAGACAGCGATTATAACCCAATAGCATTCAATAAGGTGACGATGACACTGATTCCAGACATCTACGCTCATGAGCCTTCCGAAACTAATTAAAAAACAATGTTCCATAGAAGTTAAAAAAACGCACCACATTTGCACCAGGGTTGACAAATTTATTTTATAAATTTCCAATATCATTTATTTAGAAACTCATTTCTTAGAAGTTCTAAAATTTCGAACTTCACGGCGAAATTTCGAAAAAATTGAAATGTAAATTCAGAGCATACATTTTCACGTTTTTCCGCAGCGGCCCACTATTTCTTGATTGCTCATAGGCATATAAAATGACTATATCGCCGACCTTCGCCGGATCCGTTTTTTCAAACCACTTAGGGCCGGTATTATAAAGCCCGCTTGAACGGAGATTGGCGTTCAATCGTAGTTTGAGTGCGATTGCGCATATTATAAACGCCGTTTAAGTCGTAACCAGAGCTCAATCTCCGATTGAAGTCAACCCGGCAATTTTCTCGGATTTTGGCGTCCAAACGGAGATTAGGCGCGCGCACGTGTAAAGAACTGTAACCAGTTTATTTTGTTTTGTCATTTAATATTTATAACGAAATGGAAATAATTGAAATTGGACTTGCAAGAGATCGGTTACTGTGGGAAGTAAGCGACGATGACTCTTCATCAGAGGATGAGTTCATTAGAAGAAGAGCAGAAATTTTAGAGAACGTGTTGATCATTTCGGCAAGTGATATGAAGAGGAATTTCGGCAGAGATTTCGGTTATCCAAGGATACTGTTAGATCCCCATAAAACATGATTCGAGCACTAAAATTTCCCCCAAACAAACAAGTAGGTTTGTACTTTTCTATGGAAATTCTATGATTTTTGCAAATTTACGCAACTGGGTGTGGTAATTAATTAATAATTGCCCATCAATGGTGGGCTGTCGTCACCAGCTCTAGCTTCATTACCAGTAAGGTTTTTCACTGTGCTAGATCATATTTTGTCTTCAGTTACTCAAATGTGGCTCAGTCAATGCAGCGTTATACTTCTCTGCAATTTTCTTCCATGCGTGTGTGCAGTATAAACACAGAATGATATAGATGCAAACAAAAAACTCACAACTAATGACATCCTGATGCTTTACCTTGTTCTTGGTAGTAGAGGCGTCCGCCCGTTTATTTTCAATTATATGTAAATATGACTTGTCTTGGCACAGTGGCAGGCAAAACAGCGCTATGTAAAACGATTTAGCAAGGGGATGAACAGATCAGCACAGTTACAGTGGCAGGGGCAAATGGTACAAAAGCGAAAAGAACGAACGATGGGTGCGAAGAACGTAAACGTCATCAGCTGTCACTGTCAGCTGACGCATCGGCCACTAAAAATTCTGCGCTCTGATTGGTCCTCGGTTCGCCCGCAGTGTTACCATCCTAGGGATCGTAAGCTCAAACGGAGATTAACCAAACGCTCTTCCCAAGGTGTTTATAATACGCAACCGCTTTCAATCTTGGTTTGACGTTCAATCGCCGTTTGAACTGTACTTTTATAATACCGGCCCTAAATCAAGGTTGGCGTTTCCCAAATTCATTCGATACTTACTAAACCTTTCGGAATAATTGCCCTTTTTGGAGTGATGAGGTTATAGAAATCTTCGAGTTAGAAGTGGATTTAGAGTTGATCACCTCTTCGATTTTGCATAACTCATAGAACAAAGAATCGAGTCGAAGAAAATTGAATTTAAATCATTTAAATCAAACGTTAATTTAATAAATCATTTAATAAGCCAAAGAATGGCCAGTTCAAATAGATTTCAAAGCAACTCCACTCCTTTCTCAGTTGTGAAAAATATCATTCCGAATCTCTTACTTAAAGTACATGAAATATATTGTTAACTATCTGGAACTTCTTCAATCCAGAAGGTATCTGAAGGTTCTGGATATGGTAAACTTAGACTAAAGTTGTATTTCGAGATGAATGTTGCTAAGTAATCTAAGAAAACATAAAAAAATGTTCCTATGATCAAGTAAAATTGTCAATGGTTTCCTCGAAAAGCGGCTTTACGTAATAGAGATCTTTTTGAGTTTTTTTCATGCACTCTAAGGTTTTCTTGTTCCTTGTATAATAGAGATTCAATCAACCCTCAATATTGAATTAAGTACACCAAATAACAAACGTAACGACAAGGTATGCATTTTATCCTCCCAACTCCTCTTGTCTATGAAAGTGCATGTCGATCTGGTTGATGAGATTCACAGACGGATTTGATTTGCTTAAACTTGTAATTAACCCAAAAATTAGGATAGACTAGGATGACACTAGAACCCTAAAAGAAATTAGATGTCAAATCAAGGGTTATTTAAAAAATAATAATTCAATTTATATGAGTCATGACTCGACCGAATTCTTCGAGAATTACACAACATCCGGCTAATCGCCAGAAGGTAATAATATCTACTTAAAAACTTTGCAATTAATCACAATTTATTAGCCATGAATCAGGGAAAACTTGAGCTTGATGCTCAAATCAAAACAGTGTAAAGATCGATTACCTAATGAGGCACCGGAGTGCCCAATGTATACTTAAAAATACGGACCTGACCATTTACGGATCAAATAATTGTGTATTGAAGCAGTTGCTTTTATGGCACCGATAGGAAATCTTTTTTCTTTTAGAAATTTTGGAAGAAGATGAGTGGTTTATTTTCACGCGTGCCTTCGGCTAATTAAAACGCCCATTTCGAAAAGTAATGTGACGCTTTAGGCATGTTTGTGACACCCTTTAAATTTACATGGTACGATCTAAAAATATTTCGAGCATTTTTAAACATTGTAGTAGACGTATACATCGTAGAAACTAATATATTATATCCACTTAATCAAATGGCTTATTTGTATCTATTCCTGTTGTTTTGGATAACTCTCGTAGTGTCATTTTTTATTTAAAACTTAGATGTTACTATCGCATATTTGGCCCACCAAGTATATTTTTTTAAAGCGCGAATTGCCAAAACACACAATCACAAAGCTATTTAAAATGATACTAAACGACTTAACTGCTACTGGTTTTTTCTTTGAGTTTCGTAACGGTTAGTTACATTATTGGGGTTGAAGACCCTCGTTCGTACTAAATACCTAACCATTTTGTGACTTGCTCTCGAAGTATGGAATTTTTCAGAATAATGAAGCTTGTATTTACCCCGACCGCGTTTAAAACTTCCGTCACATTCTCGAAGATGTAAATCGAATTGATTATTCCCAAAAATAAAACAAGTATAAATTGTGCACAACTCTTGTGCAGATAAACCGCATTTTTTAAAACCGAAATATCTTTTGTTTTGACATCACCAATGGATATATTTCTTGAAGACGTCTCAATCGCCCTTTGTGAGTACCCTGTTCCGACAATTCGTTCTTGAGGTATAAGAGAATATACCCGATCACGATAAGAGGTCGAGTAGGAGGGCCATGGTTGGTAGAAATTAACTCCTTTCGTTGAGACCTTTCATTAGAGTACCA